CATATCAAGACCAAGATAAATAAGAACAATGAAAAAACACCATCTGTTCCCCCCCCCCCTTCTGATTCCATTGCCTTTTTATTCATCTACCCACCCATCAGCCTTTTGACACAAACAACGAAAACCAAGATGTAAGAGCCAAAATAAATCAACAGTAAAACAGCTGTACTTCTCTCTATCTACTGCTTTTCTACCTTTATTTTTCTTTGTGACTTTAAGAGTCACAGACTTTTCTTCCGATAAGTGATAACTTATGTACAATGAACATACAGGTAATTTTAAAACCGCTGTAACTAACTGCAGTTTAAAAATAATTTTACAGAGAAACTTAATTACTAATTACAGCCATCCTCAGTATGGGCATGTGACAAAACCTTGCCTCGGAATCATCATGTTATAAATACATCTACTATTTAGTATCTTAAATGAATTTTCACAGGAAAAAAACAAGCCTGTATCAAAAGGGCAAGTGCTTTGCCAGGAACCCAGATTCAACCAGCTGTTGTTCAGACCCTGCTGCTGCTACTACGAGGATGTGGGTTTTGGACACATTCCTTGCTAAGTGTGATTTACTACAAGCTGCATTTTTCACTTCACCATGATCAGAATCAACAGTTACTACCCTGGCACTGGCACCATTAACCACACATTTTTCAAGTGACCTTATTAGTATTTTCAAAACCACACAAATCAACAGTGACATTAATATCCTACTGCACCATGACATTTTGATTAGAAAAGTCATAGTGAGAAAGTTTTGCTACTTGATTTCTGCTTTCAACTTTCAAAGATAACAGTTCAAAGAGAAAAAATAATTAGATTACTGTACAAAATGTTAAAGGAGTCTTAGGAGGGTTTTCAATGACTGGTTTAACTAAATTTTCTTATTCCACCTACTTTTCCAGAACTTTATCTTGTTTAGAATAAAGTGCTCACTGTCTCACTTCAGCCTCAAAAACATGTTTAGACAAATCTGTTCTCCATTGAGAGAAAAAAAATACAATAAAAAAATCAGCTTAAAATAAATTTATTAAACAATACAAAAATAAGCATGCTGGAAATCAAGATACATAAATAACATACAATGCAAATGAAAAATGGAAAACGAGACAGGGTAACTTAACAACTGAGCCAAAAAAGTACAACACAAATGCTAAAATAAAATTTTTAAAAGCACTTACATTTCTAATGAAATGTTAATGATGCTGACAAAGAAAAACAAACAAACAGCTAAAATGCTTGAATATCAAGAATTGCTATTACTGGTAGCACAGGTGAAGACCAAAACCATTGCAGACTCCAGACACCCAGTGCCCAGCCCTAGCACAGCGCTCCTTCCCACCCGCTCACCAAAGGCTGTGCAGGCAGGGGCAGGTGGTCAGGGCAGGACTAGCTGTGGCCCAGCTATTTGGTACCTGCCATGGACACCAGCCATCTGCAGACACAACAGGCCAGAGCAAGAGAAACTGAGTGTAGGCATGTTACAAAATAATTGGTCCAACGGAGTCTCCTCCTGACCCTTCCTAACTAGAGTCTGGCTTAAATTCCAAGACAGGCTTCAAAAGCATGTATTACAGAACTGTAATATAAGTATCTAAAGTAAAGACTGTGTAAGCTGTACCCCAAGTATTCTTGTTATGCATATTAAAGATCTAATAGTTGCCTTAATTTTATATTTCCCATGTAGGACTTGCCTCTACCATAATTTTTGCACGTAACTGAAAAATAAAAATAAAAGTGTCTTATTTTTGAGTTGAAACCCAGATGGAACAATTTCTCCATCTCCAGTCATGTTTTTTAAAATTAGCTTCAAGTAGTACTTAAAATCAGAAAATAAGTTGTGTAAAATTAGACCAGGAAAATCCTGCATCACACATTTTTCTTTCTTAATTATGTCAGCAATTTACCCAGCAAAGTCATTGCTGTAAGTAAATTTCATCAGGAGCCCAGACACTTTATGTTCCCTCTTGCAACTGAGGGTACTTCAGGTAAAGATGTGTAGTTCTGCAGGATCTCAATACTAGTTATATCTCTGTACCTACTAGTTTACTGCAAAGTCCTCAATCAGGAGAGATATTTACAACTGAAGACTTTGCTTTTACTTTACTCTTTCCAAGATAATAACTGACAAACCTGACCTTATCATCAGTGGCAAGATCATAAAAGACCAGCAAATAATGACTGATTACTGACATGCACCAGAAACCTAAATCTTCATCCTAGTAGGACTTAAAATTCACTGAAAATTTATGTTCTGTATTATTTTGCTTGAACATCTTAATCCTAGGCTTCAAAGACAGGAAGCCCATCCTTTAACAATACACTACCAGATGAAGATTATTCAGGGTTTAGTCAGAGCTTATCTCAAATGTTTATGCAGAACTAAGTACCTAAACGGAGCAATTAAGAACAGCTTGCTTTCTCAGAGAACATCAGCTTTGCTTTATTATCTTTTACATATTTTACCTCCAGATTGGACAAAAAGAGGCAGGACAAGCCTAACTCTCCCCTCATGCAAAACTCACATATGAATGAGTTTTAGATAGAAGGACTAGGGGAAAGGGTGAGGAGAAGGGGTGGACCCTTTCAAAGGAATCATCTGTCATTGTCTCTTAAAATACAGAACCAGCTATTACCATATATTGTTACTTGGACAAGTTTTCAACAGGATTCTGCATGATGTGTACAGGGAGTGGGACAGATCAAATTATCTGCAAGCTTTTAAAGGGGAAAACTATAAAAACTGATAATAACTGTCTAAGAATTTTAGCATCACTAAGAATCTGATAACTACAAGTGCCAAGACTTTAGCAAGTCTGCGCTTTCTGACCCTATTTGAAGCTTACATGAAACCCCTTCAGGATACACTCTATTCAAGATACTCAGAATTATCCAATTATACAGATGAACAGATGTGGTAACCTGTAGAAGCAAGAAAGTCCTGTTTCTTAGCAAGCTGTCAGAGCTACAAACTCACCATCATTGTAAAACATAGAAATTAATTATATATTTTTAAAAATTTGCTCATGTGTACTTAAAGAAAACCTCTGATTTTAAGTATGGCCATGCATGCACACTACCAGTTAACTGTAAACAATTTTAATAAGACCTACATACATGCTGTGCTCTGAATATATTTTCTGCTCACTACTCTCAGTTGGTTACCCCTCTCAACCCAAGATTCCTCACATTCCTCTCTAGGGTGGAGCAAGCATAATTAGTAAGACAGACTTCTGAGTCATAACTACCAGCTGGCAGCACAAGCAGCTAGCAAGACACTCAAAATAGTTTGGCAAGAAATCTTTCTCCTGCATTAGTTAACTTGCAAACAGGCAGGTTTCCTCCTCTCTTTCCCCCAGTTCTCTCCAGCCATTTTTGCTCTTTTAATGTATGTGTTAGCATTAATAATTATTAAAGCTCCGATTTTAAGATTTTATATATACAATCTTCACTAGCATGTCCAGAGGATGCATTTCTGTTCAAAGCAATTTGAAAGCTCATATTAAAAAAAAGAGAGGATACAGTAATAACATGACTCACAACCTATCTTCACTTAATATACAACTATTTAGAGATTGATGAATTGGCTGTAATTTGCTGACACTATTTTACTTTACATTTCATTAAAATTCATCTATCTTTACATGCTGACCCTGATCAGAGGACATACTGTAACACCTTGCTTAGACGTTAATTTAGTTAAAATTCTCAGATATAAACAAAAATAAACAGATATACACAAAAGTGGTATATCTTTGAAAACATTCCGATCCCCTCCCCCCCTTTTTTTTTGTAAACGTGCTTTAAGTAACTAGAAAAAGTCAGTTAACAGGTTTGGTTTTTGTTGTTTGCATGTGCTTTTCTTCCCCCACCTTGAACTTTGACAGTCTTTTTGGTATAACATACAGAATTTACACAAAATGTATATATAAATGAAACACCAGGCAAACAATATTCAAATCAAAGTCAAATCTAGAGATGCTTGAGGGTTTTTAAAATGCAGAATTTAATGAAGCTAGAACCCATTTGTTTAGTTTTGCTCTCCCCGACCTTCCATTCTATACACTATGGTTCTGGAGATGTCCTCGTTTGACTCGGGTGACACTTTTTTCCATACTGTTTCTTTTAAAGCAAGTTCTTGCTGGAGATTCTCATAGTCCATTGGTCCAAAGGAATGCTAGTTGTTCAAGCAACATACATTATTTATTAGTGTATTGGAAGGAAAAAAATCCATACTTGCAGTCAATGCTAACAGAACTCATGTTTTTCACCTGTTCACATAAACTGTTATTTTCTCTTTTCCAATTAGGAAAAATTCAAATTCCAAACTGGGTCTTTTCTAGATGTATACATGCAAATAGAAGCACTTGAAAAATCATTCTACTGCAACTTCTCTTACTGAAACCTTCAGGGCTTAGTAAAAACATCAACAGTAATAAAGGCAAAAAGCTTTTTATTATCTCAAGGAACCTCACACTTTTCTTTAGCTGGAGTGGATTCAGTTCATTCCCAGAGACTGCTTGGTCTGCTTGCTTAGTAACAGGCACTTGCCTACAGCATTCTGTCACCTGTATTCAATGCCTGTGCAGCTCACAGCAAGTCAGGTTGTCTCAGACATATCACTGTGAAAAAATGCTAAACATACACCTCATGAACTGCAGCACAGAAAGGCTAAACCTACCAGCTGGTCAAAACTTCATTAAAGGCAACCCAGTACAGTAAAACTCTTTGAAACTTCTCTCAGAAACCACATACTTACTCTAGCAAGGGAGATGAACTGCACGAAAAGGAGTTCAAATCTAACATGAAATTCTACTACACAAACCCTGTGATAGCGTGGTCCACCCAGGTAAGTGTCCACTAGTTATGTAAACTAGCTAGTTTATCTGAAAGCTTTGATGCAATACATGTCATCGAGCAGTTTTGCATTTGGAGAGGAACTTTCAGTATTTCTTCTGATGGCTACAAGGAATACTCACTAAACACACACATCAACTTACCCGCTGATCACCACCTTCTCTGCGAGGATCAAGCTTTTTTGCAAAGTGCCTCAAATTATCGTAGTTATGGAAATTGCACAAAGAAACCAGATCCTGCAAATAGTTAGTGAAGGCATATTACAATTTGCACATGACAGTAAAATGTATGTGAGATAACATTACTACCACTTATGTTTTACATCATACCTACACAACTCTTCCAAAAGGAGAAGATGAAGCTAGGGAAGAGCTTGCCCAGCAACTGGGGCTGGTCTATGAAGACGTTTTAGGTCAGATTGTTTTCAAAAAGCAGTTTTAAAAATACATCAGAACAAAAATACTTTGTTAGAACATTTTTCTTTTATTATGAGTTGTATTTCCCATGTTTTGAAAATTGTTTACACTGACTGGAGAGAAAAAGGAGTCTAAAAATAGCACTACAGCTTCTAACACAGTGTACAAGAGACCAGCTCTTTCATTACTTCATAAAGTGCTCCTTTTCAAAGCTTTTCCACAGTAGATTTCTCCAGTGTTTCTGGCATCATATTTTCATAATGCTCACTGAATTAAAGTGTTATTTATTATTGAAATGCAAATGTATCTTGTTGGACTTTCACCCTTGGATCAAATGAAAATTAGTATGTATGGAAGAGTCACAAATCACTTTAATTCATTTAGATCTCAGCTATAGTAATGGGAGCTCAGTAAATATCAACTGCAAAAGCAAAACAAACAAAAAACAACAAACAAATAAGAAAGGTAATGCCACTTACATGACAGAAGTGAATTCCTTTAACACTGTTGCCCATCTTGTCCAAAGGAGGTGACCAGCACATCAAGCCCATGACATTAGGAACAACCAGAAGAATCCCACCAGCAACTCCAGATTTAGCAGGAAGACCAACCTATAGAATAGTCAGATAATCACTGTTCTCTGCAAACATTCTTTACTATTGTAACACAATGCATCAGCATTTTAATGGATATTACTATGCAACATTTATAAACTGTAGATCTGGAAAGCATTTTAAGTTGGGAAAGCATTATTACTCTTTTTAGACAGACAATAACCAGACGCAGAATTCATGGCAGTCTCAGGCATGTGATCATCAAGTTATTTGCTCTCAGTAAAACAGAGAGTCAGTCACAGAGTGAAAAAGATAAATTTAGATCAATTATAGAAAAGCAATTATGACTAAGCAGTAGTACCTAAGTCTACCTGTCACGAATAGTTTACAACAAGGCAGTAGTACAAAGCCAAATACCTAAAAAACACCTTGACTGGAAAAGGCAAAACCAAAAAAACTAAGAAAAAAGTAATATAATAACCTACTTATTTACAATCTGGATAAAAGTATTGCTTTTTTTCCAACAGGAACTAACATGTTACACATCCCCATAGCTCTGTAAGCAGTAACTTTTAGGTCACACAAATCATCATCATCAACTTTACATGTGTGCAACACGGAAAAACTAAAAACACTCAAAACAAAATGCTACTAAAAACCACAAGTAAGACGCAGTAAATCTTAAAATGCTTACGTATAAGAAACACAGTGCTGGAAAACAGAAGCATGGTACCTACACTGTATAACAGCCACTTTTATAACATCTCAAGGCAATGAATGAAACAGCCTGAGTTGATGAAGGAAAAGCAATTGTCTGCAAAGGCTTTCTGCTGTGCTTCCCTAACATATAGCAGGATATCTTCACTTATGCTGTTTCCAGTTAGACCTGCATCCATCACCTATTTCTCTCATAAACAGCCTTTCTTAAGGGACAGAACTTATGTTTAATGTGAAAAGGTTTCCCAAACATGACATAGCAGTGAATACTAAGTACTCTAAGGTATGATGTACTAAGAGGTGTACGCTAGATGAGATTTCCTCATATGGTGCATTCCACTTCAAAACAATTAATGTAACACCCGCTCCTCTACCCCAGAAGCAAGCAAGGAAGCTCTGGAATTCGGAGAATAATAGCACAGATTCATCTTCCTGGTCACTGACAGTTAGTAACTGAAAACTACTTACATGAAAAGCAAACTGCCCTGAGAAGTCATACATGCCACAGGAATGCATTAAACTCAAGGTATTCCGGACTGCTTCAGGGCTCAGTACTTTTTCCCCAGTGATTGGGCAAAAGCCCCCGTTAGCCAGCGTCGCTGCCATCACACTTGCTGATTCACACGTTACTTCTATTGAGCAGAGCTTATGAAAAAGAAATTGAGATTGTAAACAATGATACTTGTAGCACAAGAAGGCCAACTATAGCAGGACCAACAATATATCCCTACAGAAACAAAACTCATAAAAACCTGTAGCATAAGATTTGTTACAGGTGGCACTAGTAGCATCAATTAATATGGTCTGTATCTTCCTACTATAAAGATCCCAGCAATAGTGTTTGCAAGCCCTCTTAATAGTTTGGGACAGTATGTTACATTGGATAGTGTCTCTGCTTGATTCCTCCCCCCACCCCCCATTAGGTCCTTTGAGAGGAAGAGATCTGGAAAACAACCTCAGCATTTTGCATCTGTTTCAGTGGCAAAGCCACAGAATGACTGTCATTCTGGTTGTTTTTTCAATTTGAGTTTTTTTTGTGTGGCTTTTTTTAAGCCTTAAAAGAACACACAATCTATTAAAAGTACATTTCAAAGCTGCAGGCTCTAGCACATGCAAGTTTTAATGCCATACCTTCCTGCTGATGCAGCCTTATTTCACCTTTCTCTCAGGTATACTTTTGATATATTAATGATATGACCACACAACAATTTCTCCCAGGATCCCTGCTTCAGTACAGACTATACATACTTTGGTGACACATCAGGAAATGTGATGTGATGCCATCACCTGATGCTGCCTCTTTTCTGCAGAAACCAAAAGATAAGCTGGTTTCAACCTGAAATGCTACTCTGAAAAGTAAACAAACTAGTGCTTGTACTCTTGGTTTTTGCCAAACAGTCATTACATGATACTTCATGAAGTTACCTAAGCCAAGTTTGCATGAGTAGTTACTACCTGGAATTCTTATTTTCCGGGTGCCAAACTCAATACATCCTAGTCCAATCAACTGGAGTTGCAAATCAAGAGACTGTCAGAGACGCATCTAAAATGGCAACTGTGTTTTAAACATATGAAGTATTACATAATATCACCTACTTTGAAAACAAGTGTTTCTAGCTTCTCAGTTTAAGCACCTGCATTTTGTACCTCGAGTCTCTAAAATGAGAATAACCCATCCTCACTTTACAGAGATAATAGGAAAATAAGTTTATTCCTGTTCCTAAAGTTCCCAGTTACACAAGGGAGGAGCATTACAGAAAATGCAAAGAAAAGAAAAAACTAGCCTTTTCAGTACAATTGAAATAGAGACAGTAAGAAGAAAACAGAATTGCCACTCATGGATGAGTGACCTTTTTTCTAAGTATGCAGTGGAAACGAGATATTTGCAAAGGGAACTAAAAGAATGACATGGAATCACGACATTAAGAGATCACACAGCACAAAAATGGGGCCAAACTAAAATACGTCAGAAAAGTTAAGTTTTGGATGTTTCTTAACCTGTGAACTTTGCACTCAGAAGCATATCAGGTATGAAGCAGTGGAATAAAAGCATTTAAAATGTATGTTTAAACAGTACATTCAAATAATCAGTTTTGTTCTGTAATAACAGAAGTTCAGAGTACACTATTAGATTGCACCTAGCTTCCAACCCAACAAGAGCTCAACTACAGCTAATCACGTATACCTTACTTCAGAAATAGTAATTCAATTTATAAAGATTAGAGCAGGTTCATCTCAATTCAAAAAAATAAGATAAAATTTGAATTTAAAAAAAAGCTGTTTATAATTTGCATAAGCAACAGCAAGCCTCATGAAACAAAACCAGATTCATTTTGAGAAATAAATTCTGGAGGTATTTTAAACCATTCCAGGCAGACAAAATCATTAAGAACCTGAACTGCCTCTTGAGAACTGCATGCAGCAGGGCTGAGTGAGTTGTGAATGCTTTCACTTTAGGGAACTCGTTCTGAGGAAATACCTCACACTTGCCAAGTTCTCATTTTGAGAAACTTGCTAAAAGTGAAAAAAAAAAAAAAGGGGGGGGGGGGGGGAGGGGAGGTGACATATGACTAGATTCTTTATTTTACTCATAAGCATTGAATTAAACAAAAACGAGGAGATATCCATACTGTTTCACTTATAACACCACCCTTACGTTTACAATAGAGCATGCACATACTATTTTAGTTACATACAGAGTTTAACACTATGTACTATTTTACTTACAGGTGGTACAATAAAGAGCAGCACCCAAAGAAGCAGAAATGTTTTGTCAGACTCACTAAAGTAATACAAGATGTTTTAAGCTTTTAACTACTAGTGTTTTAAAGGCTATTGCCAGTTTGCATTAGCAACAGAGACACCTCAGCACATCACCTAAACAAAAGCAAAGTTGGTACCAAATGCACATAGTTCATTTCCAAACAGAGTTTAACAGAAGCTGGCAAGTTTAACTACAAGCCACTAAAGCCTTCATATATATGAAGGAACCAGTTTCTCCTGCTTATAATAGTAATTCTAAGTCTTTAATGAATCTCAATTTTAAAATTAGTTACCTGAAAATAGAAGTCTAGTATAGCAACCATATCTGTGCCTTCAGGAAAGCACTGGGGAAGAAAAACAGAGAGACTGTTTAGGTAAAATTAGACTATTTTAAAATAAATATCCCCTTTAGAGAGACATAAATTAAGCTATATTCTTGTCAACATATTAAGTATAAGGCAGATTTAAAATTAAGTATTTCTTTAAATGTAATAAATTATGTCTGATTTCAACATAGCTCAGTGCACTGAGATCAATAGACTAGATATTAAAATATTTTTCAGCACAGCCTTCAACATCTTTAAATCAGCAAACTGTGAAATGCATCTAGGTGCATAGAAAGACATCTGTATAGCAGAAATAATGCATTTTATGACAAATAAAACAAATTATCATGGCTATGATGCAGAAAAAAAATTCTAGGTTTTCTATGAGAATTACATACTTCTAAATTAAAGAATTTTGAGTAACAGTATGAAAACCTAAACAGTATTAAGTAATTTATGCCAACACCGTACATTAAATAGAAGTCTCTACAGAATATTAAAAAAAACAACCCACCACACAGCCTCCAAAATACAAAGAACAGAAGATATTAACCTTTTTTTCTTTCAAGTAGTAGCCGATTGCGAAGTTTCTATCTCCACTCTCTCTTTCAGACTGGAACCTTAAAATACAAATAAATTTAAAGACGGGACAACGTCAAATTTTCAACAAACACCAAAATTGCAGGATGTGTAATGTAATTCAATAAACCTGCATGTAAAGGATACCTTGCTTCCAAGCACACACATTCTACTAAATGGACAGGAATTACTTGCCACACTACACTCAGTTGGAGCAAATGAGCTTTGACATCCAAATACACTCAAGATCCATCCAAATAAACTACTCAAGTAGTGCAAGATCCTGCTCTTAGAAACATTTCTAAAAAGGCCACAGTGAAAGGAAACATCTCTCAGTGGGCTGTAGTGAAGGGGTAATTCCCTTACAACACAGACCACCCTAGAGAGAAATCTGAGGCTGAAAGCTGCACAGTTTATCATGATGGTTAAGTTCAGGTTGAAACCTAAAGGAGGAATCTGTATGGATACAAGGACAGATAATTCTTGCCTGTCTGGTTCCTTCCATGGTTAACACCTTTACACTAACAAAGCTCTGGAAAAATGCTAGTTATCTCTTTCTGTTTCTCTGCATACACATGCCAACTAGCAACCTGCAAGCAACTCTGCTATGTGGAACCTTTATGATTTTGCCAGTGCTGCCTCAAAAAGCTCTCAAGATTTTTAGAATGCTATCGAGTTAATGGGGGGGAAGAGTCTTAAAAAATATTTTAAATACGCAGAGTAAAAAAGCAGAGTCCCAGGTGTATAAAGGACCATTTCTGAACATTTGATACACAGCCATGACTATGCAGAGCTTAAATTTTAACACCAATTCCAGGAAAAGAAGAGTTGCACTTACAGCTCTCACTGCCATAGCACCAACAGAGCACTACGACAGAATAATGACATTTCAAATAGGTAAACAACACTTCTGTGTGAGATTCAGCCACACCCATGACAGAGACATGCACAACTTTAGTTCTTGTCAATTTTAAGCCAAAGACACCCTCTAGTATTAGGTATGAAATGATGGTTTCAGTGTAAATAACTAAACTCTGCCACAAGCTCTGTATGTCAACCAACAGCTGAGGCATTTTCCACCCTACTTAAGTAAATAAAAAATACTCACGTGGCATTACTGAATCCAACATACTCATTACCAGCCATTTTATTCATGAATTGCATCACCTGTTAGAGATAGAGAGTAGGGAAAAAAAAAAACCCACAGTAACATTTTCAGACATTAAAAAAGTTGTAACTTACGAATTTCCAGCCTTACCCTAAACCTTGTAACACAATTTTACAAATGCCACCCAAATCACTAAATGTTTAAACAGCCCAACGCGGATAAAAAGACACAACATTTGAAATTACTAACATTTCACTTGCAATTCCTTTGCCATCAAGACTTTTATCACTGAATTTAGTTTAAAAAGGAATGTTGTAATGTGAACTTACGTAGTCAAATTTTTCTGCATTGTTTGCTCCTTGCTGCAAGAAAAGAAAAAATAATTTACAAATATTGTTAACATATGAAAGAAGTTAGTTCACTTAACAGTATTAGGATTTTTAATGCAAATAACTAAGGTATGGGACTAATTAAGGTACTACAATAATTAATGAAAAAATTAAAGTGTTAGATAAATAAATCTTTTAACTATCATTTAAACTAAATAATTCTCTAAGACTATCAAACAGCAGTATGTTGGAAATTAATTTAAACTGAAGAAGGTATGCTTTATTTTAAGTGCTCTCTATTCAACCTTCTATGTTTAGCATAGTGTAGTAGTTTAGCATTATATAGCAACTGGAGCAATTAAAGAATACAAAAGTAACTACAATCAGGATAATCATAATGAAAACATTAACTTTTTATACATTAGTAACCCAAAGGTATTCTTACATTACCAACAGAGCTGAGCATAGGAAAGTTCAGGCTACTGAAGTTAAAATATTTCCACGGCTAGTGTCCATACTAAGAATTTAGACTGAAGACTTAAAATAAAGTGTTACCCCTTACTATGAAAATAATTGCATTTCATTAAAAAAAAAATATCTGATTTGATTAAGATCTTATTAAATGTCCTAACTATCAAGAATTTAACAGTTGGAAAAACAGAATTTCACATCACAGTACATCATTGTGCTAACAAAGTATGGAAACATCTAAACACAACTTAACAAAGATGCTAGTGAAACTTACTTCTTAGGGTTGGTTGGTTTGGTTTTGGGGGGAGGAAGACAACTATTATTTTTGGGGTGTATATTTTTCCTCCCCCATTTAAGAACATTCTTAAATTTAGTAGCTGCCAGTTAAAGATGTATTAATTCTTTACAGGTCTCTGACAGGCAACCTTTCACAAATTCCTATAGCAAAACACTGAAACAGGGGTGGGAAGTAAAAAAAAACAGCACACTGTCTCCTACCGGGAATTTTTTGGTTTTTGAAGTAGCCAAGTAGAATTTGGTGAGGAAGTTAAAAAAAATAAATAAATGGCATCACATACACAAGTGGAAACAATGTATCTGGAGAAGATAGCTTTATAAATAATTTTAGTATTAAAGACACTCTATTTAGATAACAAAACTCTGTTGAACATATCTCAAACAAATCAAGACACTTCTTGCACTGTGTTTAGTATTGGAATGGGGAAGGGAAGTGGAAAAAAACTAAAGCTTTGTATCAACCAGCATTTTACTTAATGAAATGGGTAAAGCCAGTCTCATTTCCCACTCTGTATGTGGATTAGGGTGTTGCAGATAATCTTTGAAGCCCATGCATCAGCTCATCTACAAGAGGATGTGCAGTCATACACGTAGGATCACTGGCTGAAAGGAACACCACACTGCTTTGCCAGAATTATGCATCAGTGGTTACCTTATGTTTAAAGGCTAACAACCTCACTCTTAAGGCAATAAACTCTAGCTAACTTGTAATAAGATAAAAAAGTTCATGACACATTTCATCAAAATGTTCCTGTATGATATACCAGAACACAAGTCTTAAAAATTTAACTCCAAATCTGTTCAATGAAAAATAATTAAAAGAAGAAATTACCAACTTCATTGAACTGTTGCAGTTGTCAAAATATTCCATAGATCCTAATGCTGTAAAATATGTAACAACATTTAAACCACAAAAACCTTTTCAATCTTTCAAATGCACAATGAACATCTTTTTCTGGGAAAGTGGGTCAGCATTAGTTATGGGATGCTGCATTGATAATTGTATGGTTAGACATGTATAATAAATTGAAACAAGTTCTTTTGTTAAAAAAAGAAAGAGGGAGAAAAGGATCATGCTTTCTGCAAAAAAATATATACATAACACTTCACTTTTTCAGTTGTTGTTTTTTTTTCCCAGTTAAAAAAAAAAATTCCTAGTCCTGCAACAAAAGCTTGGCTTTAATAGCAGCATATAAAATTGGTGGACAAAAGACTCAATGCAAACATTTTCCACATCAGCTTCTTATAAAAAAGGTTTCTCTAAAGTTTACATCTTATCTCATATTTTGGGAAGAAAATCTTCCATATTCCAACTCAGATGATTAATTCTTAGTCCTTGACGTCCCACACACTTGCATAGGTATGTGATATCAAACACAAAAGCCTGGTTACTGACATTAAAATGCTCATCTACCAAAAATATTTACCTAAGTAAGCAAATGACCAAGCCCTCAGTATGGATTTAACATAACAAGTAACTAAAACAGAAAACTTTACTGCCATACACGAGGTGACAACTAAAAAACCCAAGATACGTTTCCCCTTCCAAGAGCTGACAGAGGAATTGCTGCTTCTCCTAAAAACCTAGAGACAGAGGCACAGTCTACAATTAAAATCTAATTGCAAACACAAAAACCTAACATGAAGGATACTGAGTAACTTTTCCACTAAAGAAACATAAGAGACAAGAAAACTTCTTGCACAAGTGCTTCTTGTTTTTAGCTGGACTGTGTAAGCTGACAAGGTTAGGGGCACCGTGACAGCGTTGCTTTCAAAGCACTTCTGTGTAAGTGCAGATGCAATTCATCTGCCTAGGACATCAAAGGAAACGTTCCATGCACTAACTCCACAAACAGAACATTTACTGGAACATATGTTCATATACACACTTACTGTACACATGCTTGTGTGTATATACATATGAATAAAACACTTCTAAATGAATACAAAATTAAATTGAAAAATGTTAAGATTGAGGCAGTTTGATAGGCAGAAAATTCAAACTTGCGTAAGACAGCTCAACACCATCTTGTAAACACTTAAAACCACAATGGACACTATGGCTGTCGATCATAAATTTGAATTTTTTGACTGTGTCAGGTTTTAGTGATCTTCCCCCTTTTTCATCTAAACAAGATACTTCTCATTATTTGTATCTCTACTAGAAAAAAAATACAAGAAGTTGCACAGTTTTCATGTCTACACAGACACAGGAGAGACCCATGGATACTTACCAGAGCTTGCAACAAAATCAGGCAGTATTTATTAGAAAAGTCGTTAATACTAGCCACTTTTCATTGATCTACATTCAGTGCTTATATTATTTGACCACATAAGCTCTTGCCATGTGTCTCTTGTTAAAATCATTTTTCAATTTTGAATCTAAGACAAGCTAATCAAAACATCAGAAGTTTATAATCTAAGAACAGCAGATTGTTTAAAATTAATTTCTGGAATTTTTTCAAGCCAAATTTATAACCTAACATTATACTGTGATGAAAACATCCAGGGGAAAAAAAAATCATTAGAGTGTAAGACAGCATTTTTTACATTTGTGCATTTTGCATTAACTTAGTATATTTATTTCAGTTTTCTGTACTTACACAGGTTATAACTTTATTTGTTAAACTGGGATTGTTCTCTGAGAACTGGTGTCTTGACTGCTTAGCATGCCATTTTCAGCTCTGAAATACTTGACAGCACACTGTCACAGACAGCATATGACCCACTAAGACCACTGTTATTGTTATTTCAAACACAGGTAAGAATTATTTCTGTGTCCTTCAGGTATTAAAATACATGCATACATGACTACAAAATAAACATGTAATTTCAAGGATAACTCCTACATATTCTATGTTACACAACATCCAATACACTTGAGTTTTAATAAAAAGCACGTGCAGAATAATATTAAAGTATGCTCTATCTAAAATCAGTTACTACAAGAAAATTAGTAACCCAGGAAGATTGGAAGCTTCACCAAAATAAAGACAAGTATCTGTCAGAGTAGATCACAACACCAACACATGTTTTAAAGTGGTATGTATATACATCTACACATCAGTCTATCAGGAAGGGGAACTGGAGTGGGTAGCATAGAGCAATTAAGATAAATCTCTACTGTTTATTTTAACTATATGGTCGAACAAACCCAATAAATCATGCATTTTCCCACTCCTCAAGTATTATATCATAACTGTGTATGTTTCCTAATTAATAGCAGCCCAAGAGCAAACAGACCCTTTGCACAGCTGGACAGATTTTTGTACCACTCTTTC